CCCAGCCGTTCGGGGGAGTGCAGCTCGCAGCTCGGGCTCCGCCGCCCGTCCTGGCAGCAGCGCCCGCTCCCGCAGGGGGCACCCAGGCATACCCCGCGAGCAGTGTGCGTGTGTACAGCACGTGCACAGTTTGCCACGGTAGTTACGACCACCAGCGCCTTTCGGGGCCACCTTACGGTCGCGTGTCGCTCCGCCGGTTCTGGCACACCACGCCTCGGCGAGACATGCTATCCGTTTCGCGCTCCGCAGGCGTCCTTGTGCCAAGGTTTGCCGAGCCTCCCGCCCCGCGGAATAGAGCGACACGCTATCCGCCCGCAGGGCATAGAGTGTCGCCGAGGCCTGCTCCCACAGGGGCACCAGGGCACACCCTACGAGCAGTGCGGTACCGCACGCACACAGTTTCCCACGGTAGTCACGACTTCTGTAGGTCTTGGAACCGGCAGGGCCGTTTTCTTATGTCCGTCCCCAAATGCATTGATTTTGAGAGTGACAGCGTGAAACAGATGGTTTGCTGAACCGGAAACAAAAACGGTTCTGGGAATCCAGCCGGAGCCGGAGCCAGAAAACTAGCCTGCCGAAGTACCCAACCAGATGCAGTCGTAAGCATCGCATTTGTGGGTATCGTCTTCGGTGGAGCTCCCCTATGGGCCACGACACGCTGTACTGGCTGGGGGAGACGCATGCGAACTTTGCCTCTGGGGCCTTCGTTGGAGCTCCCTGTGGGCCACGGAACGCTGTACTGGGTGTGGGAGACGCATGCGAACTTCGCCACTGGGGCCGTCGGTGGAGCTTTCCATGGACCGCAAAACGCTGTACTGGGTGGTGGAGAGGCATGCGAACTTTGCCACTGGGGCCTTCGGTGGAACTCCCTATGGGCCACGATACGTGTGAGAGGCGTGCCGGTTGACCGATGCAGAGAGCAGAGGCAGGGTAGAGACAGGGATGGGAAGAGGGAGGAGTGGAGTAGATGGAGAAATGAGGAACGCGGGGCGCATTTTTAAGGTTTCAAGCGAAGGACCCAAGCATATGCAGTTGTGAGTTCCACAATTGTGAATATCTTCTTCGGTGGAGCTCCGTATGGGGCCACGAAGCGCTGCACTGGCGGGTGGGGGGGACGCATGCCGGCAGTAGCACTGGGGCCGTCGGTGGAGCTCCCTATGGCATGGGGCCACGAAGTGCTGTTTTGGGTGGGGGGGACGCATGCCGGCAGTAGCACCGGTTGCCGTCGGTGGAGCTCCCTATGGCATGGGGCCACGAAGCGCTGTACTGGGTGGGGGCGACGCATGCGGGCGGTAGCACTGGGACCGTCGGTGGAGCTCCCTATATGGGGCCACGAAACGCTGTACTGGGTGAGGGGAACGCATGCAGCGGTAGCACTGGGGCCGTCGGTGGAGCTCCTCAGGGAGCCACGAAACGCTGTACTGGGTGGATGGGACGCACCGCGGGCGGGAGCACTGGGACCTTCGGTGGTGCTTCCTACGGGGCCACGAAGGGCTGTACTGGGTGGGGGGGCGCATGCGGGCAGTAGCGCTGGGACCATCGGTGGAGCTCCCTATGGGGCCACGAAGCGCTGTCCGGGGTGGATGGGACGCACGCGGGCGGTAGTACTGGGGCCTTCGGTGGAGCTCCCGATGGGGCCACGAACCGCTGTACTGGGTGGGGGGGGACGCATGCGGGCAGTAGCACTGAGGCCGTCGGTGGTGCTCCCTATGGGGCCACGAAACGCTGTACTGTTTGGGGGAACGCATGCGGGCATTCGCACTGGGGCCGTCGGTGGAGCCCCCGATGGGCCACCAAGCGCTGTTTTGGGTGGGGGGACGCATGCGGGCGGCAGCACTGGGGCCTTCGGTGGAGCTCCCTATGAGGCCACGAAGCGCTGTACTGAGTCGGGGGGGACGCATGTGGGCATTCGCACTGGGGCCTTCGGTGGAGCTCCCTATGGGGCCACGAAGCGCTGTACTGGGTGGGGGGGACGCATGCGGGCGGCAGCACTGGGGCCTTCGGTGGAGCTCCCTATGAGGCTACGAAACGCTGTACTGAGTCGGGGGGGACGCACGCGGGCGGTATCACTGGGGCCTTCGGTGGAGCTCCCTATGAGGCCACGAAACGCTGTACTGAGTCGGGGGGGACGCATGTGGGCATTCGCACTGGGGCCGTCGGTGGAGCCCCCGATGGGGCCACCAAGCGCTGTTTTGGGTGGGGGGACGCATGCGGGCGGCAGCACTGGGGCCTTCGGTGGAGCTCCCTATGAGGCCACGAAACGCTGTACTGAGTCGGGGGGGACGCATGTGGGCATTCGCACTGGGGCCTTCGGTGGAGCTCCCTATGGGGCCACGAAGCGCTGTACTGGGTGGGGGGGACGCATGCGGGCGGTAGCACTGGGACCTTCGATGGAGCTCCCTGTGGGGCCAAGAAGCGTGTGAGGGGTGTGCTGACACGGGTGATGACGATGATGATGATGATGATGATGATGATGATGATGATGATGATGATGATGATGCTGATGATGCTGATGATGCTGATGATGCTTATGACGCTGATGCTGATGCTGATGCTAATGCTGATGCTGATGCTGATGCTGATGCTGATGCTGATGATGATGGATGATGATGGTGATGGTGGTGGTGATGGTGATGGTGATGGTGATGCTGATGGTGATGATTATGATGATGATGATGATGATGATGATGATGATGATGATGATGATGATGATGATGATGATGATGATGATACTGATGATGATGATGATGGTGATGATGATGATGATGCTGATGCTGATGATTGTGATGATGATGATGATGCTGATGATACTGATGCTGATGATGATGCTCATGCTGATGTTGATGCTGATTATGGTGATGCTGATGAGGATGATGATGATGCTGCTGATGATGATGTTGATGATGATGCTGATGATGATGATGATGATGGTGATGATGATGATGATGGTGGCGGTGGTGGTGGTGATGATGCTGCTGCTGCTGATGATGATGATGCTGTTGCTGGTGATGATGATGTTGATGATGCTGATGATGATGATGATGGTGATGATGATGATGATGATGATGCTGCTGATGATGATGATGATGGTGATGATGATGATGATGGTGATGATGATAATGATCCTGATTATTTTTATGATGATGATGATGATGATGATGCTGATGATGATGATGATGATGATGATGATGATGATGATGATGATGATTATGATGATGATGATGATGATGATGATGATGATGATGATGATGATGATGATGATGATGATGATGATGATGATGATGATGATGATGATGATGATGATGATGATGATGATGATGATGATGATGATGATGATGATGATGATGATGATGATGATGATGATGATGATGATGATGATGATGATGATGATGATGATGATGATGATGATGATGATGATGATGATGATGATGGTGGTGGTGGTGGTGGTGATGATGACGATGATGAGGAGAGGAGGGGGGGGGGCAGCGGAAGGAGTGAACGCGGGGCGCTGTCTCTTCAAAGCGAGGACCCAACTCCACAGGATAGTTGGACAAAAAACGAGGACCCAACACCACAAGTTGGTTGGGAAGAAACGGCGACGGGCCCGAAAAAAAGCGGCGCCGGATCTGGAACACGCAGGTCAAAACGAAAACGGGGGGGGGAAACGGCCCTGTTGTTTCCAAGAGCCATGCAAATCACGACCACCTGCGCCCTGCTGGGGCCATCTTAGAGCATGGTGGAGCTTGAAACCCGCGGCCACCCTCCGAGTGCCTCGGGAAAATTCACGCGGTCATTCCCAATACCGCCCAAGAGCGCCCGTGACTCGGGGCTCTGGGCCCGTCAAACGAAGAGCGCCTGCAGTGTTCAGCACAAGGAACTTGAAGGGACCTCAGGACAGTTCACGCAGTGCTGACGGCACAGTGACGGATGAGGATGGTCCACGTTGCGGCCAGGGATTTTTGCCTAGTGTGTCGCGCCGCTGGCTCTGGCCCACCACGCTGTGGCGCGATACGCTAACCACGTCCCGGTCCACAGGCGCCATTTCCGCGAGCCTTTCCGAGCCTCCCGCCTCGCGGAGCGGAGCGACACGCGATCCGCTTGCAGGGCACAACAGCGTGTCGCCGTGGCCGCCGCCGCGACACGTTAAGCAACAGTTTCTGACTGTGTATGGCTGAGCAGGGATCATGACTTGGATTCGGAGGACGAGGAGAATAATCAGGATTAGGTGGAGGACAGGCTTGATGGTCTATCGAGGCAGGCTGGTCTTTGGGCTTGGAGACTGGCTCCACTCCACCTCATTCCGAATTCTGATCAGGGGCTTCTCCCAAGGACAAGCAGAGAGGGACAGCATTTGAGTCCTTGCTTCGTCCACTTGGTCGTGCCAATCCCCCCTCCCACTGGCTCGCCTTTGTCGAGGGAGCGGAGTGGGGGAGAAAGCGGTGCCAACACCGCCGCGGTGCCCACTGCCTGTCAGAGCATCGGCCAATTTCCACCATATCGGGGATGCTGATGTTGGCGTCTTGATGGGCTGCGCCGATGTCTGCCGGGTCTTGGGCCCCAGGCAGGCCTGTAGCCGTCGTCTTCCCTGCGTTCGCTCGCCGAGCGCCGCCGACGTCGAACATGAGCTCCCGCGCGCATGTGCGCACGCGTCGGTGGGTTGAAATGACCGTTCTGGCACGAGCGTTGGCCGTGGGCATTCTATGAGTGCTCGTTTGGGCCGCAGCGGATCGTCGCACAGCGTCCCTTGCCCCTTCTACTCCTTTTCCTTCCCCGCGAGAGCTCGGATTACACACATTCGAAAGGCATAGGCTCGAAATTACATGCCAGGTGGACAAGCTCGAGTGACATTGAGGATGGTGGGTGCTCTGGCGTGGAAAATGCAGGGTGGGCTTGCAGTAGTGCCTCACTCCCCAGGTGAGGAGTTCGGCAAGTTCCTCAAGAGCCTGGAGCGGTATGCGCAATACCGGGTGTGCGTGGCACGCGGTATCGGACGCACTGTCATGTTGGCTGTGCTTGCCCAGCTGGTCGTGGTGACCACAGTTGCTGTTGCTGTTCGACAGTCAACTGTTCGGAGCTATGTAGAGTCAACGCTGGTGTGGAAGATAGCGACGTTTTCATCGAAGACGCCTCTGGCAAGTCATTGCCGCCCCCTGCCCTTTGGAAACGCCTGTGTCGTGCAATGTCGAGCGAAATTGCGACCACGCTGGTGGACTGCGTCGTGTTCCCTGGGGAGGGGCCCTCTGGCTGTCTTTGGCCGCCTTGGAGCTATTTTCCAGCTTTTGGGCCTCCTGGGGCCCGCTCGGGCCGTCTTGGGAGATTTCTTGGGCCGTCTCAGGGCGCTCTTTGTTCGCCTGGCGCTTGCGGACGCGGTCTTGTCGGCCTGCGGCCTCTTTGGGCCTTCTTGAGGCCTCATGCGGCCCTCTTGGGTGCCTTTGGTTCGTCTTGGGGCTCTCTTAGGCCGTCTCGGGGTCCTCTTGGGCCATCTTGGGGCTCTCCTGGGGCAACACCTTCAACACCGTTGACAGACAGGCTCTGCTCCGCGCGGTCCACGAAGAGTTTCCCGGGCTGGTACCGTGGGCTGACGGGTATTGCTTCCGCCCGTCAATTCTTTTTCTGGGCACGCAGACTGTCTGCTGCGAGAGCGGGGTGCAGCAGGGTGACCCTCTGGGGCCCTTGCTGTTTCCTTGGCTCTACAGCGCGCCGCCGAAGCTGCCTCGGCCCCGACGGCGCCGTCGATCTAAGTCTTTCCTATTTGGACGATGGCTGCCTCGCGGGCGACGCGCCGGCCGTCGCGCGTCTCCTCCATATGCTCGTGGCCAGCCTCGCCACGGTGGGCCCCCAGCTGAGCACCGCCCAGGGCAAGTGCGAGGCGGTCCCCGCTGGCGGAGACGCTTCCGGCGTGTCTCTGGACGGCTTTCCTCTGGGCTTCCGCTTCCGCGCCGGTCGCAGCTTCGAGCTGCTCTGCGCGCCAGTGGGAGACGCGGACTTCTTGCGCGAAGCACACCAAGCAACGGGTCAAGACCGCCGCCGCGGTGCTGGAAGCTCCGGGGGAGCCCGAAAACGCGCAAAGTCGCACTGTACCTCCTGCGCCAGTGCGCATCCATCTGCAAGCTGGGCTACCCCGCGCGTGAGGAGCCGCCCACCGCGCACGCTGCCTCCTAGATTTCGTTGAACGCCTGGAGCAAATGAGCGGCTGGTCGCTCTCCGACTCCTACTGGCGGCAGGCTCAGCTCGCACTCAACGATGGGGGACTCGGCCTGCGCTCCGCCTTCAAGCACGCCGCCGCCGCATACATCGCTTCCCAAGCGAAGGGCACCGACCTCGGTCGGCAGCCCAACCCTGGCTACTCCAGTGGCGCTGACCGCGACGGGGGGAGCCTGGCGGCTGCGGTGCAGGCCTGCAACACAGTCGTGCGGGACGCCGACCAAGTGGTGGTCGACCACACACAAGCACGGCGACCAGAAAACCATTTCCGACGCGGTGGACAGTGCCGCGCTCGACGGGATTCTGGCAGATGCCACCGTGGCCGGCAGGGCACAGCTCTCTCTGGCGCACGCCCTGGGCGCTGCCGCGTGGCCCCAGGCGCCGCCCTGCGAGGCCACCGGCGCCGCCTTCCCGCGCGGCCTCATGCAGGTCGACCTGCGGAGGCAGCTGCGGGTCCAACTTCTGCAGGAGGAGTCTTTTTGCCCAACCTGTGGCGAAGAGATGGACGTCTTCTGCGACCACGCCTTGGTCTGTGCCTGCCGCGGCGACCAGACACAAAGCCACCGCGCCCTGCGCATGAGCCTTCTTCGACGCCCTGGCCGCCGGCCACGCTGGGGCGAAGTTAGAGCGCTCGTGGCTGCTACCCCCGCGCCCCGACGGGGAGGCCACCCCCAGGGGGCGAGCACGGCGGGTCCCAGGTGGACGACGCCGGCCGCTACTCTGCCGACGTCTACCTGCCGCGGTGGCGCAAAGGCACGGCGGCCGCTTGGGACTTTGCTGTCACGTTTGGATTGCGCGCCGATCTCCTCGTCGCGTCGGCCGCTTCGTCGAGTGCAGCGACTGAGAGGCGCGAAGAGTTCAAAAGGCAGCGCCAGAATACCGCGCGGCTTTGCGCGCGCGGCACAGGGCTTCACCTTCCTCCCCATGGCGGTGGAAACCCACGGCGGCGGGTGGGGCCGCGAGGCACGTGGGGCTTTCGGGGTCTCAACCAAACGGGTGGCTGACGCCGCGGGGGAAGACACCGCAATGTTTGCAGACCAGCATGCCCGGCGACTTTCCGTCTCCTTGCGCAAAGAGAGCGCGCGGGCGGCGCTGCGGCGCCTGGGGGCGCAGTCTGGAGGGGCGAGGGTTACAGCGGCCCGCCTGGCCGCGGCCTCGGCTGCCTCCACGGTGGGCGCCGTGCGAGGCGTCTTCGGCGCTGCCTAGGGGCCCGGCGTCAACCGCCCAGCCCCGCCGCCAATGCAGGGCAGCACTGGCGCCCCCCGCGCCGTTCCGCCAGCGTCGCGCCTTCGGTTCCACACCCCGCGCACGCCGTCCGGCCCTTCCCTGGCGGGGCGGTAGGTAATCCAGCATTGGGCTCTCCCCGCCAAGCCGCAGCGCGGTGGGTTCGGTCAGCCACGCCACGCCACCTCCCGACCCCGACGGCCCTTTCCGACGACCACGAACTACGGGCCCCCCCCGACGCCCACCGCCCACTCCACCGCTACGCCTGCGCCGCCTGCGCGGTCGTTGCTGTCTGCCTGCTTCTCCCCTCCTCTTCCCCTTCCGCCAGGCAGCGCAGGCTGCCCGGGGCCAGCGTGGCGGCGCGCAGGGTTCTAGGCCACTTAGGGCTACGCACCCCGGGGCCTCGGGGCGAGGTGCGTTGTGGCAGTTCTTGCGGCGAAGCGCGAGTTTTTTTTGTGTGTTGTTGTTTTGTTTTGCTGTCCTTTGTCCCCGGCAGTGCTGGGATCCTTTTGGGCATTGATGGACGCCCGAAATGATGGAACATGAACACGCTACTAAACGGAAGGCCAAATCGCAATCGTTGAAGTTTTCCTCCTGGGGCCCATCAGGGGTCTCCTGGAGCCTTCTCGGAACGTCATCGGGCCTTTTTGGACCGTCTTGAGGCCATCTTGGACGTTCCTGCGGCCATATTGGGCTGCCTTGGGGCCATATTGAGCCATCTTGGAGGCCATTTGGGCGGTCTTGCACCTCTTGGTTGGCGTCCAGGGTAATTCTGTAGGTCATCTTCGAGCCATATACAGCAGCATCGCCATTGAAGGTTACGTTGGCTGCATGTGGCGGCAGGGGGCGAAGGGCATGTAGGCATCAGGCCCTGGATGATTTTATAACTGATGAAGGCGGCAGTGGTATCCATGGCCAAGCCTCAGTTCGTGTTCCACCGGCTTCCAGACCTGTGATGTATTACCCACTGTTTCTGTACTAGATGCCCTCATCATGGCCTCTTGGAAAAGTGATCAATCTCTCGACAGCCCGAGACGCCAAACATTCCGCATAAGTCACATCGGGCGCTGCGGACCCGAATGGGCTGCACCCAGTGCCGCGGGCCCCCCAGGCTGAATCATCTGGTGGTCATATCGGGGCATAATTTGAATTGTTGCGGGCCGCCTATGGGATATCATAAGCCATGTTGGGGCTGTCCTGGGGGCTCCGGGATTCAGTTCAGGGGCGTCGCAGGGGCATGTTACATCCCTCCTCGAAAACAAACGCAAGTTTTTCTCGCAACGTGGCGACGCCACCAGGCCCGTAATTTCAATATTGATTGACGGCCTGGACGTCTGAGGGATCAACAAAAAGAAAGGACAACAAACCATGGACACGGGGGGTAGGCGCATCAGCCTAAGGGAGAAGGCGCCCGATGCATATTTTGGAGACAGGAAGAGTGGCGCACAATCAAATGAACACGATGCGCCGCGATTTACCACGCACGCGAAAGGGCGTTGGAAGGGGGCGCGCCAGCGGCGGCGCCGAAGGGCCGAACCCCTTGGCGAGCGCCGAAGAAGGCGCCCAAGGCGGGGGCCGACTACGCCGTGGGCTGCGGCAAGCACTGGACCAAGCGCTTCCGCTCAAACTTCCTCATCCTGGTCCAAGACGCAGGACCCTGCATATCGGTCGGGCTCAGCTCCGCCACGTTCACCGCGCCCTCTCGCGCGGGTTCCACCCCGCGCCGCCCCTGGTCTGCGCAGTGCTGTTCGGGGCTGAGCTTAGCTGGTTCCAGAAAGACCAGGCATGCATTCGCTGCACTGAAGCGTGCCGGCGCTGGGCATCTGGTAGACGTTGAACTCCAGGTGCAAGTTTTGAGCCCCAGGTGCCGACCTGGAGACGCGTGGGGACGTCTGGGTGGGTTTCGGGAGCACCTGCGAACGCTCGCCAGTGCCTGGGAGCGCGCCAGGGAACCCTGACAACTCCTCGAAGTATTCGAGTGGCGCTTGGGAGCGCGCTAGGGAAGGTTCGTTGACGAGAATCGCTTGTGTTTTCGCAGATCTTGTATAGATCCCATCTAGATCCCAATGCATTCCCACATATATCTATATACATATATATACACACATTCGAAAAGACATAATTCCATACGGTCCTACATTCCAAATAACTTCAACGATTGCCATTTCTAAATGGGAATCGTATGGGATCGAGTGAAAAACTATCTGGGAAGTGAGTGCATTGGGGTCTATATGGGACCTGCATGAGATCGATATGGGATCTGTGAAACAGATACAGTGATGCAGCGCACCTGGGGTCCAGAAGGAGGGTGCCCTCATGGCGCCCGCGACCCGACGCGATTCGCGGCCTGCCCGCGACGCGCTCGCGACATGCCCGCCGCAGCCCGACTGGGCCGCGCGGCCCGACGAGGCAGAAGGCCCCCGACGGCCCGGAGAGAAACGGGGTGCGACTGCTGTCGCTGTGTGGGGCATGGGAGCTGGCCTGGCGATTTTCCAGTTGCTACTCAGTTGCCACATTGCTGCCAAGGAGTTGCCATCTATGTTTTCCCGAGTTGCGAATCTTTGCTCGCTCAAAGCGAAGTGCCGCGATACTTTCAAACAGAGCACCAGTAGCAACTGGGGGAACACGCATGGCAGCCAATGGGCAACCGTTCAATAATTAACTTGCTAACAACTAAAAAACACAAGTCGCAAGGTGGAACGAAAGCGGGCATGGCACCGCCGCAAGCGCCGAAAGGGCTGCAGATTGAACGGACAAGCGACGGAACAAAAAGTTAGTATCCCTCCTCGAAATCAAATGCACATTTTTCCAGCGACATGGCGACGCCCCTGGGCCCTCAATCTCAATGTTGATGCCGATGCTGTCGACTGCATTTTTTTGTCGACCCCGCGGGCGTGCGCTGCGCGCGCCCATCAACACTGAAGTGTTGGGGCGAGGGCGCAAGATGAGAACTTGTGTTTGATTTCGAGGGTGGTTGTCAGTCGATCTTGGGGCTTTGCTGTCCCACCGACCTTGCGGGTGCTGGGAAACTCCGAGTAACACCTCGGGGCCTTGTTGGGTCATCCTGGGCGGTATCATGGGGCGTTCGGGGACCATTTTGGGTCCGTCTTGGGCAACCTCGGGGTCTCTGGAGGCTGCCTGGAAACGATCTTCTAATATTTCAGGGGCAGCGCATGGGACAGGCCAACACATCACATCAAACATTTACTTGCTCTGTGTTGTGTTGCTCTATCCAGGGGGGCTGCTCGGGGGTAGTGGTGCCATCTTCGGTCGTCGTGTGTTGTTGGTATATTGATCTGCCCGTATTGAAGCTTGTCCTGAAAGACTCTTTCGCTCTCTTGGCCATCTGATGGCCTTTCTCTGGGAATCCTGGGGCAAGCTAGAGCGGCAGGGGGATGAGCCTGCCCTTTGTTTTTTGTTTGTGTCGTGCCCCCCCCCCCCCCCCCAGTCCCACCCCCAGAAGACAGTAGACAGGAGACAACATGGATAAGCAGGGCGCAAGAAACACATGCACCATAAGTATTACAGCATCGCAGCCTAGTAGCACGTTGCACAGCCTTGAGCTTGCACGGGGGCCAGCGGATTGGGTGCATTCTGTGAGGCAGTTTTCGTTGCCGTCTTGTATTTTGACCGGAGGAAGAACTTCTCCCGCCTGCACGAGTGGAGCTTTTGGATCTCTGCTTTTGCTCATGACCAGTTTGAGGAACGCGGCGCTTGTAGCGAACATGACGATGTAATGAAGTCTGCATTTGTGGAAGCATTGTGCAGCGACTCTGTAGACAGTGCCATTGCAGTGATCGATGACGATGGCGTAATTGGCAGACGGGTTTGGTGTGGTTTCGAGCTTTATTGGGCTAGAGCAAATCTCAACAACAAGCTGCTTGTTGATACCGTCAGCGCGACGGGGCTCCTTGGCCAGGGTGATTCGAACGAAGGTAGCAGAGCGACAATGTTGGACCTCATTGACTCGCTGGAATTTGAGAACGCGCAGTGTACATACAGCAGCGACAAGGACTCCTGTGATGCAAATCCGCGGTCCCGTATTGCAGCGATGTCCTTAGGTGGTGCTGAACGTTCAGGCCATTCGCGTCGCCATTGATGGGGCCGCCAAGAAATTCAGCATCGTCCGGTGGCATCTGGTGCGAGGTGGAGGAGGAGGCGGAGGAGGGGAAGGAGGAGGACCGTTGCGTGATATCCAACCCCGAACCAAACCTCCAGCTCGGTTTTGGAGGTCGCGGCGGCGATCGCGGGGGCCACACATCGGGGCAAGGTTTTCGTCAAGGAGTGGCATGCCCCTTCCCAGCCCCCCCGCTCTGCGATGTAGACTTGGTTCAGATGAACCGTTTGAATTTAGATTATATGTTAAGCGACTCTCTTCCCCGAAGTTGGATCTCAAATATAGTTCTTTTGTAATTTCGTTATCGCATTCTACACAGCTGGCCAATCTCATAGCACTGGCGGTCGCCCTGGTGGTTGGGCTGGTGATTGTGCTGGCGGTTGTGCTGGTGGTTGTGCTGATGGTTGCGCTGGTGGTTGCGCTGGTGGTTGTGCTGGTGGTTGTGCTGGTGGTTGTGCTGGTGGTGATGCTGGTGGTTGCGCTGGTGGTTGCGCCGTGCTGGGGGTGCTTGCTGGGGGTTGCGCCGCGGGTTGTGCTGGGTTGTGCGGTGTGTGTGTGTGTGTGTGTGTGTGTAAGATTGTGTGCTGGTGGTTTTGCTGGTTGTTGCGCTGGCGGCTGTGCACAACCCCTCCAGCACAGCCCTCCCAGCACAACCACCGAGCACATCCCCTCAGCACAACCCTCCAGCACAACCCCGCAGCACAAGCCCCCAGCACAACCCCGCAGCACACGCCCCCGAGACAACTCCCACAACCTCCGAGCAGAAGCCTCCAGACAACCCCTCGGCACAGCCTCCAGTAGAACCCACTGGATAATCCACCAGCACAAGCCTCAGGAACCTCCCAGCACAACCTCGCAGCACAACCTCCCACCCCCCCAGCACAGCCCCCCAGCACAACCCTCCAGCATAACCCCTCAGCACGATCCCCCCCGCACAAACATCTCACACAACCCCCGAGCACAATCCCCGAGCTGCGCAACCCCGCAGCACAACCCTCAGTGGAACCCCCAGGACAACCCCCCAGCACAGACCCCCAGAACAACCTCCCAGCACAACCCCGCAGCACAACCCCCCAGCCCCCCCAGCACAACCCCCCCAGCACCCCCCCCCCTAGCACACGCCCCCAGCACAACCCTCCAGCACAACCCCCCAGCACAAGCTCCCAGCACAACCCCCTAGCACAATTTCGCCGCGCAACCCTCCAGCAGCATGCGCAGCACAATCCCCCAACACAACCCGCCCGCACAACCCTCCAGCACAACACCCCAGCACATGGCGCCTGCAAGCGTCGACGATGACGCCACTGCGGGCGCCGGCAAACGACCACGACGATGACCACCCCCTGTGGCGCTGGCAACCGACGGCTACGATGACCCCCCCCCGCTTGGCGCGGCAAACGACATCGGCGACGCCGACGACGACGACGACGATGACGGACGACGGACGGAAGACGGATGACGGACGGCGGACGACGCCGCCGCCGCCGACGACGACGACGACGGCATTGTAGGGAGTGGGGGTTCTGTGTAAAGGGGGTAGGGTCTGTTTTCGCCGGGTGCTTGGGATGCGGGGGGGGGGCGGGCTGCCGACGTGCTGAGGAAACTTTCGCACCCAAGCGCCCGTGAAACGCCCTGTCAGAAATCACAAAAGATGTCTTAAGCAGGTGCGGCATCTTAGCCTAAACGAGGAGCTCTCAGAAACACCCCTTTCTCCCTCTTCCCTCCGCCTGCCTCCCTCGTCTCTCCCCCTCTCACTCCTCCCTCCTGCCTCTCCCTCATCCTACCTTCTGGGCCCACCTCCTCGGAATCCCCCCCCGGACCTCTCCTCGGGTGCGTGCTGGTTCGGATTTCGAGGGACATCCCGCCGTGGCCACGAGGGCGCCCCCTGGGTTGCAAAACTTGCCAAAACAAAAGCTCCCTGAAGGATCCTCATTCCACGCTCCTCCCCCCCTTCTCCCTTTCCCTTCTCTGTCCTTCGCTCTGTATGCATGCCTCCCCCTTGGACCTCCAACTGTGGCCAGGACGCGATCGAGCAGGCCATGAGGTCGGAGGGAATATGGTACCGCGACCTCGACGAAGCGCTTACAGGCTTGCCGAAGGAGCTGAGGAGAAGGAGAGAGGATCGAGGCTCTTTGACGTTTTTTTTGCTAGGGGGCGCCTTTCTGGACATCCTGAGGGACGGCTGGATCCGCTTGCAACTTCTGGCCAGAGCGCACCTGCGAACGGGTCAGTGGGGTCGGTTTGGGGGGCGCTGCCCAGAGGACCGAGCAGGAGGAGGAGAAGGAGAAGGAGGGAGGAGGAGGGAGGAGGAGGGAGGAGGAGGGACTACACAGGTGCAAAGGAAGGAAGGAAGCAGGGGGCTGGGCGCTGACAGGCCTGCTGACGCGCAGCATGGCAACCTGGAGAGGGCGTCGCAGGGTGCCCTGGGTTCTGCTCGCGGTCGCCCCGATAGACGGAGGGCCGGAGCGAGGGGCCCGCCCCATTCCGCCCCTCCTCTCTGGCCCCTTTCCCCCCCGCCCCTGCTCACCCTTCTTTCTCCCCCCCTCTCCTCGTTCTTCCCCCTCCCCCTCGCCCTCCCTCCTCCTCTTCCTGAGGAGGCGGCAGCCTCCCTCCTTGCCCCTCCTCGTTTTTCCTCCTGCCCCCCGCCCTCATTTCTCCTTTTCCCTAGGGAGGCCCGCGGGAGCGAAGACCCGAGGCGTCAGTCAGCCTCGTTTTCTTTCTCCTCTTCCTTTTTCTTCCCCTGCCTTCTCATCGTTTTCCTCCTCCTCCTCCTCCTCCTCCTCCTCCTCCTCCTCCTCCTGTTCCTCTCCTCTTTCCCCGCCTCCTCGCTCTCCTCCCGCCCCTTCTGCTACTGATGCTGGTCCTCCTCGCCCCTCCTCCTGTTCCTTCTCATCGTTCTTCCTGCTACTATTTCTCCTTGTGCTTTCTCCTCCTGCTCCTGACGCCCTGCTCCGCCTCTAACCCGCTTCCTCCAGAGTGGGGTGGGTACCTTTCTCGAGACCTTCCAAAAGCATCCGCCTGCTTGACGGCATCTTACAGAAAGTGGATGATCAAGATCCTGCCCAAGAGCCATGTGCCGATTGCGCTCCAAGCTGACACAGGCCTGGTCCAGATAGAAGCGCACGACTTATCCCTGGCCTTTGTCTTCTTTTGGTGCTTGCTGTATATTTCCATCTTTGGAGAGTTCGACGAGAACAGGTGCCTGGTGACGTTCTGGAACAAGGGCACGGAGCAGCAGAAGCACCTCCTCAGACGAGCGAACCACATCCTTTTTGTCCTCTGCACGCCGAGCGTGGTCGTCTTCTGGCTGGCGGTTCTCATCCGCTCGATGCCCGACTTCTTCGGCAAGATCTTCATGCCTGAGGCTGTCGCCCTGCCGCCACCAGGCACACATCAGGCGTGGTGCAGTCATCGGGGGATTTCCTGGGTACTTTTGGCTTCTGACGCGTGAGGCCGGCATTGGTCTGGTGGTATTTGATGGGGCCGCGGCGTTTGGCGTGTGAGTGGTTTGGTGGGCGGGACGGTAACGGGTGGGGGTGCAGCCGAGCGACGACCGTGATGTTGATGCTGTTGATGCTGCTGATGATGATGATGATGATGATGATGCTGATGATGATGATGTTGATACGGGTGAGGATGACGATACGGCTGATGATGATCATGATGATGATGGTGATGATGGTGATGCTGCTGATGCTGATGACGGCGATGTTGGAGATGATGATGCTGATGATGATGGTGATGATGATGAGGATGATGGTGGTCATGGTGACGGTGATGGTGCTGCTGCTGATGATGGGGATGAGGATGACCATTAGATGTTGATGACGGAGAAAGGAGGGTTATGATGATGATTAAGATCGTGATGATGGTGATGATGCCGACGCTGGTGTCAATGAGTGTGATCATGATGATGCTGATGCTGATGTTGATGATGGTGATGGTTATAGTGGTGGGTCTGATGACTATGGTGACGATGATGATGCTGCCGATGATGAGGATGAGGATGCTGCTGCTGCTGCTGCTGCTGCTGATGATGATGATGATGATGATGACAATGCTACAGGTGATACTGAAGACACTGCTACGGGTGATGATGGTGATGATGATTATGATGATGGTGATGATGATGCTGCTGATGATGAGGATGACGCGGATGATGAAGATGATGAGAGTCATGATGGTGGTGATGCTGATGCTGATGAGGATGAGGATGATTATAATGGTAGTGATGGTAATGATGCTACGTATGCTGCTGATGATGACGACTGGAACGATGATGCTGTTGATGGTGATGGTGACGGTGATGATGATGATGCTGACGATGGTGCTGATGATAATGCTGATTATGATGCTGTTGATGCTGCTGATGATCATGCTGATGGTCATGATGCTGATGCTGTTGGTAGTGGTGGTTGTGATGACGAGGAGGATGATGGTGATGGTGATGCTGGTGATGATGACGACGATGATGATGATGATGATCATGATGATGCTGATGCAGACTATGCGGGTGCTGGTGATGAAGATGATGCTGATGATGGTGGCAGTGATGGTGGTGCTGATGATGATGATGATGATGATGATGATGGTGGGTATGAGGATGATGAAAGTGCTGAGGATGATGATGTTGCTCATGCTGATGACGAGGCTGATGATGATGATGATGATAACGATGATGGTAACGATAATCATGATGATGTTGGCGATGCTGGTGATGGTTATGACGATTAAGATTATGTTGGTGTTGATGATGTTGATGATGATGAGGGTGATGAGGCTGGTGATGATTACGAATTTAGGTTGATGATGATGGTGATGATGATGACGCTGGTGATGATGAGGGTGATGAAACTGATGACGATGGTGACGATGATGATGATGAGGCTGAGGCTGAAGATGATGATGCTTATGGTGATGATGATGAGGAGGATGATGTTGCGTATGATAATCTTGCCGATGAGCTGATGCTGATAACGATGATGTTGATGCTAATGATGCAGTTGAGGTTGTTCATGATGGTCATGATCGTGATGCTAGTGGTGATGATGATAGTAACGAGGCTGAGAACGAGGATGATGATGATGATGATCCTAATGTTGATGGAAGCGATGCTGATGATGCGGATACTCATGATTACGTGGATGAGGAAGGTGATGATGATGATGACGAGCGTGCGGGTCGTGATGATGAGGATTATGATGGTGATGCTGATGATGATGATGGTCGTGTTGATGGTGATACTGATGCTGGTGATGATGCTGATGCGGATGATGATGATGGTGATGTTTGTAATGATGGTGTTGGTGATCGTGATGATAATGCTGATGATGATAATGGTAATGACAATGATGATGATTATGGTGATGCTGCTGATGCTGATGGTAATATTGACGGTGATGCTGATGCTGATGACGATGATGTTGATGTTGATGCTGCTGATGTCGCTGGTGCAGAAGATGCGAATGATGCTGATGATGATGGTGATGGTGATGATGATGATGCTGCTGCTGATGATGATGGGGATGAGGATCAAGATGATGATGCCGATGATGATGACAATGATGATGCTGATGATGAGGAGGACGGTGATGTTCATGATGATGGCGAGAGTGTTGATGATGCTGGTGATGAAGATGTTGATGTTGTTGATGATGCTGATGCTGATGATGATGATGATGGTGCTTATGGTGGTGATAATGATGACGATGATGGTTTTATTGATGGTGATGATGATCACGGTGAGATGGTGATGATGCGGATGAAGATGGGGATGTTATGATGATTCTGCTGATGCTGTTGATGATGATGATTCTCATGATGATGCTGTTGATGATGATGCTACTGATAATGATGATGATGACTATGATGATGATGTTGATGATGATGATGACGATGATGCTGATGATGATACTGATGATGCTGTTGATGACAATGATGATGACGATGATGATGACGATGATGGCGACGATGATGATGACGATACTGATGATGATGGTGACGACGACGATGATGATGATGGTAATGATGATGATGCTGATGATGATGATGATGATTATGGTGACGATGGCGATGCTGATGATGATGATGATGATGATGATGATGATGATGATGGTGGCGATGGCGATGATGATGATGATGATGACGATGATGCTGATGATGATGGTGATGGTGATGATGCTGATGCTGATGCTGCTGATGATGATGATGATAATGATAATGATGATGATGATGATGATGATGATGATGATGATGATGATGATGATGATGATGATGATGATGATGATCGTGATGATGCATGCGCGGCATCAGCGTGCAGCAAGATTTCACCTTGCCGCAGCAATAGCACCAGGCGAGCGCAGTCCCGCTTGAGCCTTGACCGCTGCGGGAGGCCCGACGCCCGGCCCAAGAGAGCTATGATTCCTCAGACTGGCGCCAGCATGATCGGGCGGGGGCCCTTCCCCGACCTCCCCCCCCCTCCTCTCCCTTCCCACTTCCCCTCTCCCCCCTTCTCTCCACTTCCCGCCTCCCCCCACTTCGTTAGTGGCACTCTCCGCCTCCCCCTTCCCACTTCCTCCTTCCCGCTTCCGCCTCCCCCCCTCCCCCCTCTCCCCCCTTTTCCCCCTCTCCTCCCTCTCTCCCGAATCCGCGGCCCCGGTGCCAGACCCGTCGACGAGGTCTGGTAACCACGAGGGCCAGGCGTACCAGCCAGAGGTCTGTCCGCCACAACAGGTTGCGTGTGTACATCGGGAGGGTTATTCTTAGCACCCAGGTGGAGGGCGACAGCCCACCTGGGAACCGAGAGAGCGACAGGCAGGGAGGGTGGAGGGAAGTAGGAGGAGGAGGAGGCGGAGGAGGAGGAGGAGCGAGCGGAGGAGAATGAGGAGGAGGAGGTCGGAGGAACGAGGGGGAGGACGAGGACGAGGAGGAGGAGGAGGAGGTGCAGGATGAGGAGAAGGAGGGAGAGCGAGGCGGAGCGAGCAGGAGCGAGGAGGAGCGATGAGGATGAGGAGGAGGAGAAGGAGGCGGAGGGGAGGAGGAGAATGAGAAGGAGGAGGACGAGGAGGAGGAGGAGGAGCAGCGATGAAGACGATGATGATGCTGATGATGATGATGATGCTGATGCTGATGCTGATGCTGATGCTGATGCTGATGATGGTGATGGTGAAGATGATGATGATGAGGAGGAACACGAGGAGGAGATGGAGAAGAATGATGATGGGGATGATGATGATGATGGTGCTGCTGCTGATGATGATGATGCGGATGAGGATGCTGCTGCTGATGATGACGACGATGATGCTAATGATGATGATGATGATGATGATGATGATGATGATGATGATGATGATGATGATGATGATGATGACTAATGATAGCTTCATTATGATGATGCAGATGATGATGTTGATGATGATGAGGTTAATGACTATGATGCTGATGCTGATGCTGATGCTGATGAGTATGATGATATTGCTGATGATGATGATGATGATGATGATGATGATGATGATGATGATGATGATGATGATGATGCTGATGATGATGATGATGATGATGATGATGATGATGATGATGATGATGATGATGATGATGATGATGATGAGGATGATGAGGATGATGAGGATGATGAGGATGATGAGGATGAGGAGGAGGACGAGGAGCAGGAGGAGGAGGATGAGGAAAAGGAGGAGGAGGCGGAGGAGGAGGAGGCGGAGGAGGAGGAGGAGGAGGAGGAGGAGGAGGAGGCAGCGAGGAGGGAGACGGGAGGATGTGCAGGAGGTAGCCTGATCGGGTCCCAGCCGCCTCCGTGATCGCGTGGGCAAGCCCTGCCCTTCTGCCCCCTTGGCGCCGCGGGGGCGTGCGTCTCCTCATGAGGATCGGGGAGGTGGTCCTGGCCGCGTGCAGCGTCGTGTTCGGCCTGTCCTACGCTGTCATCAAGGAGAATCCGAGGCCGCCCCCCCTTCCGCCGGTGGGCCGTTCCCGGATCCCCCAGAGGAGGGCTTATAACGTCCGAGTGCGCGATGCTGTGTCTGGTCGCCTGGTACCACCACCACCACCAGCACCACCACCAGGAGGGCCACCTCCAGCGAGGGGGTCCACGATGCCTCATCGAGCTCGGGATTTGGGATGTCTGGAGCCAGAGGGGGAGGGGCCACCCCACCAGGAGGCCGCCCTTCCTTGTTCCTACGAGCTCTCGAGCCACTTCACCTTCTGACATCCTCTCGGCGTGAAGCAACAATCACGATGTTCTCAGCCTCTAGGGGCCCCTTCCAGGCCGTATTCGGCCTCTAGGTGCCCTCACTGGGCCCCAGGATCGCCAAGACGCGACTCAGCATGAACGGCCGGTGCCCAGGAAGGGGTCCAGGCCTCTGGGGCGCCACGCCATGGGGAAAACACATTGTCCGATGTCTGGGCCTGTGGCCAGTTTTCCAGCCCACCTTGTCGTTTCGTGACCCCCCCCTTGTCACACCCCTTTCTCGACGCGCGTGGCGCGCAGTAGGCGCCACCTGGGATATGTTTGTGCAGTGCTGTTGGTCTTATCTCTTATCCTGTTGCCGCGTCAAATCAGGATCCGATAACGAGCGCGTGGTGAACCTCGTTTTTACTTTGCGTAATTCGGGTTTTCATACGATCGATGCCGCGTCCTATTGCTACCCATGCATGCCATGTGCAACCCCACGCGCACTGGACGTCCTGATCATTCTGCATTGGAAGAAGCGCACCCGCGTAATATGAGGCGTCGGAGTGCAGCGGAGATGTTCGCTTTCCTGCTCGAGCGTGTACGTCACACGTCGCATTCGCTTAGTATGGGTAGGACCCTATCTGATTTGTCTTGCGGCTTGTGTCTGGTCGACGTTACCATGCAAGGGCCATTGCGGAGGCAACCTCGTGCCCCGCTCGCCCAGGGATTTTCCAAGGTGGCTTGCCAGTTGATCGTGAAAAGCCACCTCCAATACCAACCTCGTGGTTACCCCGAGGGGGAATGCACAAACCAACGTAGCCGCTGGGGAATTCGGCCCATTGCCATCCAGCGTTCTCCTGCTTGCGGATGCACACGGAACTTTGCTCTGGCGGGAATGGGGCCTGGCGCGCACAGCGCGCAAGAATTGTTGCGGAGTGGAATTTCGGTGGGAGGGTGCTGCGCGTGGAATATTGGAGCGGATTAGAGAGGCAAGCTCAAACAGGGGGGAAAGTAACACATGTTGGGGCGGGCTGGCTGTAGTCATGACGGCAAGGGCGGTAGCGCTGTGAGAGGTGGGCCAGCCTTAGAGGGGCTTGATTGGATCGCTCGAGGCCACCTCCCGCTCTCGCTCAAATCCCCACTCCGAACTGCTCCTGCTCCTGCTCCTGCTCCTGCTCGCACTCCTCTGCTCCTGCTCCCACCCCCATCATACTTCGCGATCGTGCGATGCATTCCCACTCCTTTCGTTCCCGCCCTGGCTCCACACGACTCATCAAACAACAATGCGAAGTCAGCGCTTTTTCTTCAATGCGGCAGTTCTGTCGCCGATGATGCGCAATACGTAGCAGGAGTGGGACGTGGCGCACATCGCGCGCTGCATGTCGCAATGTCGCTCTCGCCTCAGCGCCGCGCAGACGTGTCCGAAATTTGTGCTCCCGCTCGGGCGCGGCACAAAACTGCTGTTCGCCAAGCCCGTCGGAAGCCGGGTCGCGCACGACAGAGCGTGATGAGGACCTCCCTTGAGCGCTGCGCGCACGTTTGTCTTGTTATTGAACCGCTTCGCTCATTCCGCCGGCCCGTGATATGGCATCGCTGGTTTTTGTCTGTGTGTTCGTTGCCCATGTTGCGCTCTTGGGGGCGGGTGTCGTTCGGACGCGTTGCGTGGGGAGTTTTGATGGTGAAGCAGTTCCCTGGGGGTCGTCTCTCGATGGGGCGAAATAGAGTCGTCGTCAAGATGCTTCTTTGGGGGGCCTCTTGGGGTCTGTTGAGAGGCCGTTCGGGGGCGCCTGGGAGACATGTTTGAAGCCTTCTGGGGCTTCTTTTGGGCCTCCTGGGAGTCTCCTGGGGCCTCTTGGCGACATCTTGGGGCCTCTTGGAGGCCTCTTGGGGCCTCTTTGGGACCTCCTGGGCGCCTTCTGGGACGGAGGGCTCCATTTTTGAGTTCTCGGTATCCCTCCTGAGTCCCTCTTGGGCCCGTCTTGGGGCCTCTTGGTCCGTCTTGGGCGGCACTTGGGCCGTCTTGAGGGCTCTCTTGGGTCGTTTCGGCGCCGTCTTGGGAGCTTCGTGGGCCGTCTTGGAGCGGTCTTGGGGGCCTCTTGGGCCGTCTTGGAGCGTCCGGAAGCCGAAAAAGCCAGAACACAAAAAACATCGAATTACTCCGACGGAAGAACCCCACATAAGAATCCTCTGGGCGAATCTGGAAAAAGCCATCACCGTCGTCCTCGTGGTTGGTGAGGCGTCCTGGCTGTCTCTTCTGCGTATATTTCCTCTCGCCTTGGCGCGGGCCCCCCTTCCACTCCTTACGTTGTCCCCATCCTCGCCCCCCTGTTTGTTCCGCGCCCCGCCACCTCCTCCCCTTCCTGTTGCATGAGCGCGCATGTCGATGTTCCTCGGCGCCGTCGCCGCCACGGCCAGCACAGGCGCGTTCTCTACTGGTCACGTCGCGCAGCCGTTGGGACAACCCCGCGGGCCAGGCTGTCGGGACAACCCCGCGAGCCGCTGGCGCGCAAGACCAAGCCGTTGGGACAACCCCGCGGGCTTCGAGCGAGGCGCAGCCGCGCTCAGGCGGAAGGCAGCACGAAGCCCAGCTCTGCCGCGAGCTGCTTCGCCTCCGCCCTGGACAAAACCGCTCTCTTGTCGAACTCCAGGAGCGCCTTCCGCAGGGACGCCGGCGGCCCGCACTCCAGGAACTCTCGCGGCGGCGGCCGCAGGATCAGCATGTTCCGCATGCACGTGGCGCGGGAGAACATGACGTAGAGGTGCAGCCACCACTGCTCGTCCGACATGCCCGTGCGGCCAGCGTCCTCGTCTCTCGCGCAGTCGATGGTGACGCCCTTGCGCAGCGTCTGGCCCTGCGACAGCGTGGAGGTCAGGTAGGACGCGTGCGTCAGGGTGAACCCCGAGCGGCGCACGCTGTGCGCCCCCGAGCTCTGCCATGTGAACTCCCTTTCGCTGGGCCTGAACATCAGCAAGCTCCGCGCCCGCGCCTCGGCCTGGCCGTCGTCGTCGGCGCCTTCGGCGCCCTGTCGCAGCACCTCGGCGACCTGAGGAGCCCAAAAACTTCCTTGTTGCATCCAAAGTGTGGCCTGGGAACTGCGTTCTGGCAGCGCGAGAACCCAACATTGACGACAGTTACAGGTTTTGGATGACCTGCTCGGATTACCAACATGATCTGCGGGCCCCATAGGGAGGGGGCTCCCGCCTGAGACTTCCTCGCAGTTCACTCACAGACGAGGCTCCCGCCTGAGACTTCCTCCATATTCAGGCTTGAGGAGCCCAAAAGTGACGACAGTTACAGGGTTCCGATGACCCGCTCGGATTACCAACATGATCTGCGGGCCCCATAGGGAGGGGGCTCCCGCCTGAGACTTCTTCACAATTCACTCAAAGACGAGGCTCCCGCCAGAGACTTCCTCCAAATTCAGGCTTGACGAGCCCAAAAGTGACGACAGTTACAGGGTTCCGATGACCCGCTCGGATTACCAACATGATCTGCGGGCCCCATAGGGAGGGGGCTCCCGCCTGAGACTTCCTCGCAATTCACTCACAGACGAGGCTCCCGCCTGAGACTTCCTCCATATTCAGGCTTGAGGAGCCCAAAAGTGACGACAGTTACAGGGTTCCGATGACCCGCTCGGATTACCAACATGATCTGCGGGCCCCATAGGGAGGGGGCTCCCGCCTGAGACTTCTTCACAATTCACTCAAAGACGAGGCTCCCGCCAGAGACTTCCTCCAAATTCAGGCTTGACGAGCCCAAAAGTGACGACAGTTACAGGGTTCCGATGACCCGCTCGGATTACCAACATGATCTGCGGGCCCCATAGGGAGGGGGCTCCCGCTTGAGCCTTCCTCAGAATTCACTCACAGACGAGGCTCCCGCCTGAGACTTCCTCCATATTCAGGCTTGAGGAGCCCAAAAGTGACGACAGTTACAGGGTTCCGATGACCCGCTCGGATTACCAACATAATCTGCGGGCCCCATAGGGAGGGAGCTCCCGCCTGAGACTTCCTCCCAATTCACTCACAGACGAGGCTCCCGCCTGAGACTTCCTCCATTTTCAGGCCTGGGGAGCCCAAAAGTGACGACAGTTACAGGGTTCCGATGACCCGCTCGGATTACCAACATGATCTGCGGGCCCCATAGGGAGGGGGCTCCCGCCTGAGACTTCCTCACACTTTACTCAACGATGATGAGGATGAGGATGATGAGTGGTGGTGAAGATGAGTGGTGAAGAGGATGATGATTGATTGTGGGTGGTGGTGGCGATGATGATGTTTGAATGAGGATGATGCCGATACCGATGATGACGATGATGTTCGTGAGCGTGTGAGAGAGTGCGAGTGATGATGATGTGTGTGTGAATGAGTGCGAGGAGAAGAGGGGGTGAGTGAGATCTCTCTCCTGCGCGGGGGTGTGCAGAGAAAACAAGAACCCCACTTTGGATGTGGGGAAAAAACCAATGAAAATCAACGATTTTGGCCTCTTGGGGCTCTCTTCGGAGGCCTCTTGGAAGGCTCTTGGGGCGTCTTGGAGGCCTCTTGGGCTGTCTTGGGGGCCTTTTGGGCCGTCTTGGGGTCATCTTCGGCGTCTTCGAGCGCTCTTTGGGCGTCTCGGGGGCCTCTTGGGCAGTCTTGGGGGCCTCTTGGGGCACTCTGAGCGCGCTCTGGGGAGCCTGAGAGGCCGCACCCAGAAGGAAAACCATCTCTGAGTAGACTTGGTCGGGCGGCGGTCGGGCGGCGACCGGGCGTTGGTCGGGGTACTTTTCGCCGGGGGACCCCCAGGGGCCGCCCCGCGCGCGCGAACTAGAAATACTGTTAATACTGTTAACCAGTTACCGGAGATCTTAGCACGCCCTGGCCCGTTGGGCCGGCGAATTCTTCAAAGTTTCGCTCCCGCTTGGGCGCAGCGCAAGTTCTCGCGCGCCACGCTCAGCGTATGCGGAGTCGCGCGGGGCGCGGGATTTCACACGCGAAGGTGGCAGCGCTGCGATCGCACGGCCACCTCGGCAGCAGAAGAGCGCACGCGCGAGGTACATCTCGGTGCTCGCTCGGCATGCGGGCCCGTAGTCAATCACATTGCAGTCGTGGTATTCATTGATACGGTCGGGAACTTTAAATAGCGTGTCGCTCCGTAGGTTCTTGCCGACCACGCTTTGGCGCGATACGCTATTCACGTCCTTGTCCCCGGGCTTCATTGTCCCGAGCCTTTCCGAGCCTCTCGCCCCGCGGTCCAGAGAAACACGCTACCCGCTTGCAGGGCATAGCGCGTCGCTGGGGCCGCCGCGGCGACATGCTAAGCAAAACTGCCCGACCGTTTCCTGGTCATGTGCTGAATGTGTTGGAGACGAGTGCGCTCACCATGATTGGCCAAGGGCGTCGGCCAGGAGGATTTGGAAGGGTTGGCTGGGAGGGGTCGGAGGTTGGGTCAGAGAGCTGGCCGGATTAAGTCTTCGATTGGTCGTTCTTTCCCCAGGGGCCGAACACGACAGAAAAACGTCCGTTCTCTCGGGCCGTTCCTTCTGGACTCGGGTCGGGGAGCCTAACTACTCGTGGCCGAGGCCAGCGGTGGCCAGAAGGCCCTTCATTCGTTCCTTGACACTCACCAGTCCTTGTGGTAGCATGCTGACTGAACCACGTGAAGAGAAAAAGAAACGTCCGTCGTCGTTGATTTCACGACGCGAGCATGTCTGGGGAGTGCCGCGAACTCCTGTACGGGACGAGCGCCACGCTGGCCCCGAAACCTTCGCACATCGATGCTGCCCTTGAACCTCGCAGGCTGTCGAGCGTTGGGCTGTGCCGACGCCGATTCGAGGCTGGGTTCGCCTCGAAATTCTGGTCCGAACGCACACCTGGAGAGGTCCAGGGAGTAGTAGTATCGGTACCTTTTTGTCGTTCTGGGGGCAGCGCGGGATTGGGCGGGGTCCGCAGGCTCGCTCGAGCAGGACATGCTGGCCCTGCCACAAACCATGGCGCCTGAGTGCGCAATGCCTCTTCTCAGTCGTCCCCTGGGAAAACAAGGGCTGACTTGACCAAACGTGCCCAGCCCTCCAAGCTTGCAGCAGAGCGCGCCACGCCTGTTGCACTTCTTCGGCCTCCTCCGCTCCGGCCACCCCTCTGCCGCTGCAAGCTTCCGCCCTCGTCCGCCTCGGCCGCTCCCCGCTCTGTCGCTCCCGCTCCCTCTGGTTATGCCCCGAGCCGCGCTCGCTCGCGCTCGGGCCCTCGGCGCTGGTGGCACGCGCGTGGCCGGGCGTGGCCCCCCCTCGCCGCAGGCGGGCCGGCCCTGGCCATGGCCCGTGCCCCGAGAGAGCTCTGGGAGGGCGCCCCAGGGGCCCACCCCTCCCCCCAGACAGGCAGCAACCACTGTTTTCAAACGGGCGCGGTCTGGGGGATGTCGTGGTCGGCGTTTTGGAGGAACGCGCCGATTTCGGCTAGAGCCGGGGCCTCGCAGGGCCCCCAAGCCCTCGTGCTCCCCGCTCTGGCCCCGCCCAACAACGCTCACAGCGAACATGCTCCTCCTGCTCCTCCTGCTCGCACGTGCGGGTGAAAACACCCTCGGGCGCTTCTCCTTGCCGCCCGGCCCCCGCGGCCCCCCCTGCGTGCGCCAGGCGGCTCTCGGACTACTCCAGGCAGCTTGTCGAGAACATGCTCATCTACTGAGCACGCTCGGAGCCTGGCGATGAGATCTATGCACGTCCACCGCCCCTGGCCAGGCCCATCCTGGGCCCCGGAGCGTTGTAGAAGCTTCCCCGGCCAAGCTCGGGGCCCCCCCCAACGGTGCGGTGACCACATCGTGAGGTGAGTTAGTGGGGATTCGGGGTGGCCGCATGGTTTTGAGACTTGGGCCGTTCTCCGAGGACCTCTCGGGCGATTGCGGCCTCCAGTGTCCCCAGACGGTGCGGTGACGGACAGTGCGGTGAGGTTTTTCGGGCTTCCGAGGTCACCGCACGGGCTGTCGCCACAAGCCAAGAGAGCATGCACACCGTTCTCAGTCCCTACCCTAGAACAGTAATGTATCTCTCGCGCGAGGTCCGTTTCCCTGCGCCCCTCGACTTCAGTGTTCGCGCGCGGGGCGCCGCGGGATCCGACTTTTCCGCCCTCGGCCGCGGCTGACAAAACGTTGAGATCCAGGGTCCAGGGGGGGGGCCGCAAGACATGAAAGAAAACAGTTGCGCCGCTTTTCCACGAAGGGTTGCATCATGGGCCTGGCCAGGGGCGGTGGACGTGTGCAGACTTCGTCGCCCTACGGAGGGGCCCCTCCTCGCCGAGGCTGCCGGTGCGCACGGGCCCGCGGCCCGCCCGAGCGCAGCGGCGCAGCGGCGCAGCGGCGCAGCGGCGCAGCGGCGCAGCGGCGCAGCGCGCAGCGCGTTGCGCAGCCCGCCGTCGGCGCGGCCTCCGCGAGGGGGCGGCTCGAGCGGTGCGCCGTCGCCCGGCGCGCGGGCCGAGAGCAAGCAGTGGCAAAGCGTCTTGGCTTGCCTGTAGACCCACCGAAAGAATTTCCTGAGAGCCTGTGGTGGTTTGCACGACATGTTCGCAGAACATTTCTGTTTGAGACTGCCTTATTTGAGCCAGTCGGTTTTATGTCATGAGGGCATGGATCTGTTATTCTAGCATTCTTGTTCTAAGAACACTCCGTGGTAGGCCTATAGAGATGTCGGGACGGTCGGTCCCAGCTCAATGAAATCGCGCGGGCGTGCTCGGTGCCCAGTTCTCCGACGATATCTGATGTTTTTCAACCCCGCAGTTGTTCTTCGCTTTCGGCATCCGGGGGCCAACTGTTCGGGACCCTGGGGCCATGCATTACCCGAGGGATGCCTTACCCATCTGCAGCAGGTGACCGACCCTAGCATGCGTCCCGCTCTGTGCGGATTGTTTCATGACAAGAGGCGCCAGGTGTGATGACATATACATGGGGGGCCGAAGCGTTCCACGATCCACGGGGCATTATTCAATGCTGCCGTACCCTGAGTATGGCAGCGCAGTGGCGTCATACGCATGGCGCCACTGCGCTGGGCCGCGGCGGTTGCGTGAATGGCAGCACCCCTAGCCGCGATGTCTAGTCAGGGTGCGGGTCAGACGTCACTCCGCTGGACCTCCCAGGAACCCACGAAAGTGGCGACAGTTCCGCAGGTCGCAGCTTCGCAGGGAGCCGCGAATTCCATTCTTGGTGCGCGTAAGACGTCACCCCGCTGGATCTCACAGTAGCCCACGACAGTGGCGGTAGTTGCGCAGGTCGCAGCCTCGCAGGGAGCCGCGAGGTCCAGTCGGGGTGCGCGTAAGACGTTACTCCGTTGGACCTCCCAGGAACCCACGACAGTGGCGGCAGTTGCGCAGGTCGCAGACCCGCAGGGAGCCGCGACGTCAAGTCTGGGTGCGCGTAAGGCATCACTCCGCTGGACCTCCCAGGAGCCCACGAAAGTTGCGGCGGTTACGCACTTCGCAGCCCTACAGGGCTCTACTTGTGAAGTTGCGAGTGTGCGTGTGCACCCAACACTTGTTCTCCCTCTTTCTTGTTGTCTTTCTCGTCTCTTTCCTCTTCTTGCCCCCCTCCCGCGCTTGGTGACACACCGGCGTCCACCCGGCAACGGTGCCGCCAGATGCTGTTTTTTCGTCTAGCTGCTCATTCGCTCTGTGTGCCTCTCTTGTAGTTGTTTTGGCGCTGACCTTGTAAAATAATCCACAGGTGCCGCCGCAGCCATTCTTTGGTCACGTTGCAGCTGGCAGTGAGACATTTTGGATGTACCGGCCGATCCTCGACTTGAGGCGTGGCTTTGCTCTTTCCTCCCCTGTCTCCTCCGGCTCCTCCCCCCCCGTTTCTCCACCCCGTCTCACCGATACGATACAGGGGAATTTTGTATCGCACGTTTTTGCTTGATGGCCGCTCTCCTAAGCAGTGGCGAGAACCAGCGTGCTGGGTTCCTCCGTCTTGGTTCCGTGTGTGCGGAGCTGGAACCCTGCTCATTCCGTGCTCTGCTCTGTCCGCTTCATCCTAAAGCTCCCTTGAGGGGATGCGGAATACGTTTCACAACAAAAACTTCGCAGCCCTACAGGGAGCTTCGAGGTCTAGTCTGGGTGCGCGTAAGACGGCACCCCGCTGGACCTCCCAGTGAGCTCACGAAAGTGGCGGCAGTTGCACAGGATGCAGCACCCGCAGGGAGCCGCGGGGCCTAGTCTGTGCGTGCGTAAGGCGTCACTCCGCCAGACCTCCAAGGAACCCATGGAAGCGGCGACAGTTTCGCAGGTGGCAGCATCCTCGAGGGAGCCGCGAGGTTTAGTCTCGGTGCGCATAAGACGGCACCCCGCTGGACCTCACAGGAGCCCACGACAGTTGCGCAGGTCGAAGCCTCGCAGGAACCCACGAGGTTCAGTCTGAGTGCGCGTCAGACGTCACTCCGCTGTACCTTCCAGAAACCCAAGGAAGTGGCAGGTTGCAGCACCCCGAGGAGGCCGCGATGTCTAGTCTGTGTGCGCGAAAGACGTCACCCCGCTGGACCTGCCAGGAGACCATGACGGTGGCGGCCGTTGCGCAGGTCTCAACCCTACAGGAAGCTACGAGGTCCGTTCTGGGTGCGCGTAAGACGTCGCTCCGCACTCCGCTGGACCTTCCAGGAGCCCTTCCAGGAGCCCACGAAGCTTGCGACGGTTACACAGTTCGCACCCCCGCAGGCAGCCGCGACGTCTAGCCTGGGTGCGCGTAAGACGTCACCCCGCTGGATCTCACAGTAGCCCACGAACGTCGCGACAGTTGCGCAGGTGACCGCACCCCGACAAGGCCGCGAGTGCTAGTCTCGGTGCGCGTAACACGTCAGTCCGCTGGACCTCCAAATTTGCTTGAAGGTGGCGGCAGTTGCGCAGGTCGCAAACCGGCAGGAAGCCACGACGTCAAGTATGGGTGCGAGTGAGACGTCATTCTGTTGGACCCCCAGGGGCCCACGAGCGTGGCAACAGTTGCGTTACACGGTTCGCAGTCCCGCAGGGCGCCGCGAGGTCCAGTTTGGGTGCGCGTAAGGCGTCATTCCGTTGGACCTTCTAGAAGCTTAAGACAATGGCGGCAGTTGCGCACGTGGCAGCACCCCGCATGGAGCCACGAGGTGCACATAGTTTGGGTGCCCGTAAGGCGTCATGTCGCTGGTACGCCCAGGAGCCCACGGAAGTGGCGACAGCTGCGCAGTTCGCAACCCCGCAGGGAGGCATGACGGCGAGGAGGAGAAGCGCAGACGCGCGAGCAGTGCTGCATTCAAAACGAGACTCCAGCGCAGGAGGTTTGGGAATCAATCGTGATGCAAGGGGGAGGTAGAAGGCGACCAAAAAGAGGGAGAGGATGACGGTTGGATCAAGCAGTGCTCTATTTAGCACGAGTTCCCAACACAGGAGGATCGGGAGACAAAAGGGTATGCAGGATGCGGCAGTGCAGGAGCAATAGGAGGTAGGATGCAGGAAGAGGAGGAGGAGGATGAGGAGGAGGAGGAGGAGGAGGAGGAGGAGGAGGAGGAGGAGGAGGAGAAGGGGAGGAGAATGAGCAGGAGCAGGCGGCGGGAAGGGGCAATGCGACGCGCGAGCAGAGCTCCATTCAACTCGAGAACCCAACTCAGCAGGGGTGGGAAAGATTTACCAGGGGCGGAACGTTAGCCGCGGGGGAGAGGTCGGGACTTCTGGGGCCCCGGTTGAACAACCCATGTCGGTGGGCTCATAGAAGAAGCAGAGACCACCGCCACCAAGAGCCCACCGGGGGGGACCCACCCCTGGGCGGTGGCGCGCCTGAGCGTCATTCCGCACTTGGCGGCGCTCGGTCTGGTTGTCTCAAGGGCTGGTAGAGCTCCCACCCTGCCAAGTCGATCAGCGAGCTTCCATTTTTCGATTCTCGGGGGGTTGCTGCGGCCGCAATGTTTGCTGGCTTGCGCCCGCCGTGTCCGGTCCCCGTGTCGTTTTCGTTGAGGGGTGTTTTGCTAGAGGGAGTTCTGCCCACCCCGAATATCAGTGGGACGAGCTCCAGCAGGGGGGTCGATCAACTTCTCTTGAACACCTCCAGTGGAGGTGGCGAGGCGGCTTGCGGTCCGAAGTGGTGGGCTCGGATCCAGCTGCCCGAAGCTATCGCCCTGGAGTTCGGGGTTTCCCCGGTGCCAGATCCGCCCACGGAGCTTGTTGTGCTTCAGCTGGCTCCCCTCGGGGGTTGGAGCCCTCCTCGGCGTCCCGATCGACGAATGCCCGCATGGGTTGCCCCCCCCCTCCCCACGGGTCCCCGTCGTCCAGGTCTGTAGGGAAGGTCCGCGCCGCGTTGACGCGGCGGCAGCCCCAGCGCGGGCGTTCAGGATTGAACGTCGCCGGGTGCCCAGAATCGGCCGACACTGCACGCTCTTGGCCAGCAGAAGGCTGCCATCGCGCGAGGTTCAACGACCCACTCGGTGTCAGAGCTAAACGCCGACAGTATCGCGACGTTTACTGTCAGGAGCGTTTGCTTAGCGTGCCGCGCCAGTGGTTCTGGACCACCGTGCCTCGGCGCGACAGTCTGAGCACGTCCCGGTCCCCAAGCGTCGACGTCTCGAGCTTTTCCCGGCACCACCCGTCCACCGAAGCAGAGCGATACGCCGTCAGCTCGCAAGGCATGGCGTGCCGCAGGGGCCGCCGGCGCGAGGCGCTGAGCAAGAGCTCCTCACGCTTCAGCTTGCCGCGGCCGAAGAGGTCCGTGCATCCCCCCCCCCCCCCTTCTGCCAGTGTCACAGACTCCCCAGTTGGCTCCCTCCTCTCCTTCGCCTGCAGCCTGGGCTCGCCTGCAGCGAGCCGCGACCCACCTGCGTCCGCTCTTGGTGGCGCGGTCCTACTGGAAACGCTGCATTGGAATGCGGCGGGGGTGGAAACGATGCGAGCGGGAGGCACGGGGGGCAATTCTTCGTGGGCTTTGGAAGCGGCAGTGCAGTTTTCTTTTACCACTCTCAGAGAACAACTTCTTGAATTTGGGAACGGCAGACAGTGATCATTCAATTTGTAAAGCACGGTTCACCGAAGCGGCCTGGTAGTCCAGGGATCCGAAAGACATCGGGGGCCGGTTCGAAAACGGCCTCGACCCGGTAAAGAAGCAGTGATGTGGACCAGGCCCCCACCAGGGGAAACGAACCCGGTAAACAAAAAGGCGCCGGAATCGCCAGAAACGGGGGACCAACCAGAAACATTAGCACGATAACGCCACGGACCTGTTGTTTCCAGGGCCCACGAAGGACCACGCGCCCCCGCGGTCCGCGCGGCCAGGTCGCCAGCGAGTGCGAGGCCGTCGCGAGCCGGGCGGAGGCCGCGCTCCTCGCGCGGAGGGGGTGGGGTGCTGCTGACGGCCGGGAGCTATTGGATCGCGTGTCGCTCCGCCGGCTCCTGGCCCCCAAGCGTCAACGTCCCGAGGCTTTCCGAGCCTCCCGCCCCGCGAAGCGGAGCGACACGCTATCCACTTGCACGGCATAGCGTGTCGCCGAGGCCGCTGCGGCGACACGCTAAGC